GCCCCCCCCCCCCCCCCACCCCTCTCTATTAAGTGCTTGAAAAAAGTAAGCCCCCAGGGATTTATGGTATGTCAGTGGTCTGAGCGTATATATCTTTGTGGCTTTGTGTGTTCGGATGTCTGTTGCAGGGACCAATAAAGTTGAAGGTACTATAATTGATGCTTAGGAACCAATGAGATTTTACCATCTAAACATGACATTGCTAAAGGTCAAAAAAGGGAACTTTTGAGAACGCCATCTTGATTCTTAACAATTTTTTCGTCTTTTATTACTTAAGGTGTTAAGAAGCATAAAAATGTCTTCACGATTCAAACGCTGATTACAGTGAGGCAGCTGTTTAAGGGTTCGTATTTTAGTGTGGGTGCTGTTTGAAGACATTTCTGACCTAATTCGGCTATCGCGATCGAGAACGGTACAACGCACGTATTTCATAATTTATGAGTTATGTTTCAACTGCTTTAAGGCGGAGCATAAAAAAAACATATCTGGTTCAAAGTTCTTCCAATAAAACAATAATTGATATTTAGATCTGGACTAATTCGGAAGTATACGGCCTATAAATTGTGGTTTTAGAAGTTTGAAAGGTAGCATTTTTTTTTTTAAAGCTGGACCGAGTAAGTTAATCCTGTAAACAAGCTTTATTCTCTCACATATAAAGTTCAACAGACCTTTTTCGTTCCGGCAAAAAAAGGAAAACATGAATGATAAGTGAACAACATAATACATGCTTCCTGCTTAAGAGTCATATTATTCTTTCAAAATATTTCCCCAATTCTGATTGGCTAAAAGCACACGCATAATTCACCATAACTAGTTACTGATGACCAAATTTGGAAGAATTTTGTGTTTAACGAGGAAATGACGTCAAAAATGCAGCCTTCTACAGGTTAATGCACCGTTAACCGAGAAGACCTGGGGACGAGGTTGGGTTGTTTTTGTTGTGAAAAGTAAAGTGGCGGACACTTCACTCGTTTCAAGAGTAAGAACTAGCTAGGCGAAATAATGGCGAAAAACATAACAAAAACAGCAAGAAGACAACTCGGAGGGCGACATCTGCTATTTGGAGAATATTTGCGGAGCTGGACAAACCTAAAATCTATCGAAGATGAACTTAACATCGATGCAGGTAAGCATGTTTTAGCTATGTTTTTAAACTAGGAGTTATTTTGAATGAACAATAAAGTAATTAATCAAATCTCATGGCGAGAAAACGAAAACTCGCGTAAAGGTACGGGCCTTTTAAAAGCCATTTCTTTGGTGCTTTGAATACCGCGTACCTTCCTAAAAAAAAAATTCTCCATGACAAAAATCGAACGTTTTGTACGCGGGTTTTTCACTTGTAGATCTCTCAGTTTCAGCATATGAGTAGGTTTTCTTGGCCCTTTAAAGACTTTCAAGACTCAACGCCAAAAAGTCATGTTTTCCTGTATAAGTCGAATTTTCACTCGCAAAGCAATGCATTTCTATGGTTTGATTACCAAACTCGTAGTTTTACTTATCAAGGGAGAAATGCATCGTAGAAATGTTCAGCTGCCTTAAGACTAAAAGCGAAAAAAAAATTACCACGCGAGGTTTATTTATTAGCGCGATGTCTCATGTTAAACTGCTCAGGGAGACACGCGTTTATATATGCTACAAAAATATGAAATATATGGGATTTTTTACAGTTTTTCGAAAGTTTTTGCGGAAAATTTTATAAAAAATATTCTACAGGAAATGAACTTAGAATGGATTGAGTTTGAGACAGTAACCGATTACAAGTGATTATGTACTACATAATCACTTGAGCATTTCATAAGCTCAGTTGCAGACAAAATGAACGCACATACCCCGCAAAAACGAACAAAACTTTTATTTTTCTTTAACTCTAAAAGATATAGAGATTGTTCGCAAGCTACTATTTTGAAGCGACTCTTGAGTAACAGCTCCTGTGTTCCACAATCGATTTCTTGTTATTTATTTATATTTTATGACAGTAGTGATCCATTCAAAACCGAGAATGGCCATCTCTCCATAAATCTAACTGACGATGTTGTTCACCTTCAAATCCTGTTTAAGGGACGGACAATTAGAAAAGTTATAGGGGGGTGGGGAATTTTCGAGCCGCAGGAATTTTTTTTCGTTATCAAATTGCTACCCTGGGTGCCAGAGACTTTTCTAGTGCGGTTTCCGGTTTATGTCAAGTCTTTATAGTGACCCGCGCTAAGGGTACGTGCGAGGGCGAAAGAAGGAAAGGGGGGAGGGGTAGGGGAGAAAAAAATACGCCTGCACGATATCATTGTTCTCTTGGGAAACTCCGTACGCTGGCAAACGGAGCTCTTGATTGGTGCTAAACTATTATAGTATACCGTAAATGCTCGAATTAGCGCCCAGCTTCAAATAAGCGCCCCGCTTCGAATTAGCGTCCCTCCTAAGGCTCAAGGCCCCCCCTCCCCCGAGAAAAAATGAGTTTCGGTACTCGATACGATATACGAGACGTATACGGTCTATACGGTTCTTTTAATGAAATGTGACATTGTGACCCATTTCAGGACATCACGCTATCGGATGTCGAAGATGCAGCTCCTATGACAACATTGCTTGAGGACAGCGATACGGAAATTGAAGTTGATTAAGAATCCAAATGCTTAGGAGAGACACGGTATTTTAACATTGACAATGTGTTTTTATTGTATGTTTAATTGAAGACAACTGGACATTAACCGCAGGCTTTTCTTTTTAGACAAAACATTTCACAATAGCAAACGCATAATTTTGTTAGAATTGTTCTATTGCAGAAATAAAATACAATTTTTGATGAAAAAGTCTTACGAACGTTTCGAGTTCGCAAAAAGTAGTTTTCTATAAGGTTTTTGAATATTTATGTTGTAGTTTGGTTTCAAATAGAAATAAAGATAGTGTCATTTTGAGGCTAAAAATTGATAAACGAAATAAGCGCCCCCTTCAAATAAGCGCCCCCGTCGAATTAGCGCTCCCCTCTTGCCTTAGAAAATTAAGTAAGCACCCCGGGCGCTAATTCGAGCATTTACGGTACATTACGAAAATTTTAGGAACCCTGGGTGTCAGAGACTTTTCTAGCGCGGCTTCTGGTTTTGAACAAGCAAACTTACATCACCCAACTATTGCATTCACGGCCGAAACAGGCTGCGTTTTTAGACACGGTTGTATACAAAGGCACAAGATTCAAGAAAAAATCGATCCTTGATGCAAAGACACATTTTAAACAAACGGGAGCCTTCTTGCACACACATTTCACCTCGCGTCACACTCCAAATGTTAAAAAAGGATTTGTCAAAGGAGAAGCCTTGAGAATCCTACTAGCCTGCAGTGCAGGCGTTTGCTTCGGGCGCGCAAATGTTTTTGCACCTATCCTTAGGGCTACCCTTTAGGTTACTATTTCTACTCTCCCCAATCTTCCACTGTCATAAAATCAAAGATGACGGCCAGAACAATACGAACACGAACAAGGTTTCGCCCACTAAATACGCCTGCACTGCAGGCTAGTGGTTTCACAAGATGTCTCACATCCATAAAAGTTTCACATGACTTTCACATGAACTTCACATGACACTCACATAGGTTGGGGATTTTCCCGTGACGGCTACTATTCTTCTAAGTTAGTTGGGGTTTTACCCGTTTCAATTTCAGTCTCGCGCACAAGAGAGAATGATCTAGTCGTGCACATACCGCGTGTACAAAAGAATAATTGTTCTCGATGAAGGCATTTTAGTCTGCTAGCGGTGGTGTGAACAGTGAATAGCGATTGAATGAAGATGGTACAGTCTAATTCCTTTGGAAATTCAAGGTAGGTAAATTGTATGCCTTTTGGATAGTGTTTTTATCAAAGTTTTTTTGCTAAATGATATGATATGGGCACGAGTAGATAAAACTGCTATTTTCATTGATATGTTTGCTCCGAAATGGGCACGCGGGCCCCATAACTTAGCACGTTTTCCCTCCTGGGACCCTTGCATTACCCCAAACTACCGTTTATTGAGTGAGAATTTAAATGCTTTGCCAACATAAGGATAAGGATCACTGATCAGATCGCTTTTCTATGCGTTCATGCCCCAAGAGGGCATATATACTTGCGTTTTTTATGCCGTTCCGGCTTTCGTCGCTGAGTATGGCCGAGGCTCCTGTCGCTGTCCTTCCTTATGTTCTGGAAGCGTTCGCCTGGCTGCGATACCTCCTTCGAGTTACCTTTTATAGCGTGGGTCGCTTTCAGACTGGATTTCATGGCGGGTATCATTCTCCATTTCATTTTCATAACGTGTGTCCGGGCGTGTGTCGCTTCAAGTTGTTTCATAGTATTCGTCGCCATTTCTGGCGCGGTGAGTCGCTTTTACTAGTTTCATAGTGTCTTTCGTAATTTGCTCTTTATTTTGTGTTTTTAGCGTGTGTTGCTTATAAGTTGTTTTCATGGCGTGTTTCGCCTTCAGGTTGTTTTCACGGCGTGTGTCGCCTTCCAGTTAGCCATTTCTAGCGTGTGTCGCTTATAAGTTGTTTTCATGGCGTGTGTCGCCTTCAGGTTGTTTTCTACGATATAGGCCGGTTTTTTTTTTTCGTTTGCGGAGTTTTTAAGTTAGACACTGAGAGATGACTCGGGAGTACATTACACGTGTAAGCACTGTTGGGATGCTACAGTGCTGGTTTTAAACCGAACGAGCAAACATATTGTGATTCATTTCTGACTTATCGAAACTTGTTGTAGTTGTCAAATGGGATCAGTATGCCATCCTTTTGTGCAAAATTGAATACTATTAGGAACTTTAGGAACACTTAGTAAAAAATCTGTCTTTAGCTAGAGCCTTTGGACAGAGAGGCTGAGGCTCGAAATACTATAGAAGTCGCGACCATCGCTAAAAGGGCCATCTAAAAATTAGATTAAAGCAGTTATTGACGATCTCGAGACGGTCGATGAATTCCCTAAAGCTCTACGCCAAACTCAAATGAAATTGATTTTTCATCCTACTTCGTCCGCTATGTTGGATCGGCTCACACGCATTTAAGCCAAAAATGCAATTTATGGAAATAATAAGGTTTTGTAATCAGTTAACCAGTTTGTATATTTTAGCTGGTACTTACAGTTAATGCTTAACAACATTGTTTTATATCAGTTAATTTAGCAGAAGGTTTTTAAAATGAGTCAAATTCAGGATTTCCTTGATCCGCAACTCTATTCAGTCCTACAGACTGCTTCTGGTGTGGTGATACATAAATGTTAATTAAGAGAGCTTTCTAGATTTTCAGTAACTAATCACAGCCAGGAGTTTCTCAAAACTTCCTCGGGGGTTACCCCTCTTAATCTATCCACTCAACTTCTTGAAATTCATAAGGGGTTTTGCCCTTATTAACAAACAATGCTGAGTCAAAGGATTCAATACCGATTTTTACTTGTGTCAGACTATCTTCAAACAGTGGCTAGTTAATTAAAAGTGGTTTTTCCCTGTATTCAAAAAGCAGACGTGCCTTTTGAGTAATTCCTGTTATCAAAACGATTTAATGACTTTCCTCTTCTGTCTTATCTACAAAGATATTGAAAAATAATTTACAGTGTTCTAGAAATTCTTGAAGTAAATAAGGGGCTTACCCTTTTTTATACGACCAATCAAAATTCTCTTCTCATTTTTAGATTGTCGGATTGGGTTTTTTCCCGTGACGGCTACTATTGTTCTAAGTTAGTTGGGGTTTTACCCTTTTCACTTTCATGCACATACCGCGGTAAACAAAAGAATAATTGTTTTCGATGAACGCATTTTAGTCTGCTAACGGTGGTGTGAACAGAGAACAAAGAGTAAATGAAGATGCTACAGTCTAATTCCTTTGGAAGTTTAAGGTAGCTAAATTGTATGCCTTTTGGATAGTGTTTTTATCAAAGTTTTTTGGAGATGATAAATGAAAAAATGATATGAGCACGAGTAGATAAAACTGCTTGTTGTGTCAAGTCTTGAGCACTAAAAAATCAGATCCGATGTCTTAAGAGTTTTGCTGAGTTTTTGAAATCAGTTTTTGTCTCGAGTTGTCGCAACAGTTCATTGCGGTCAGTGAGCAGTGCTGGCCATGAAGTTTTGGTTGGTCATTCTAAATGTCAGTTTCGATCTACGATAGGTTTTTTTTCCTTTGCTGACTGAATGAACTGTGACTTTGCTGACTGAATGAACTGACCGGAATGAACTGTTGCGACAACTCGAGACGAAAAACTGATTTCAAAAACTAAGCAAAACTCTTAAGACATCGGATCTGATCTCTTTAGTGCTCAAGTTGTACACTGAGAGATGACTCGGGAGTACATTACATGTGTAAGCACTATTGGAAGGCCACAGTGCTGGTTTTAAACCGAACGATCGAGAACGAGCAAACATTATACATTTCTGAGTTGCTGAAACTTCTAGTTGTCAAATGGGATCAGTATGCCACCCTTTTGTCTGAAATTGAAGAGGAACTTTAGGAATACTCAGCAAAAACTCTGTCTTGGGCTGGAGCCTCTGGACAGAGAAACCGAGGTTCTCTATTAGTACTTACGAAGAAATAGAAGTCGCGACTATCGCTATTGATAAGCCATCTAAAAATGAGATTGAAGCTGACGATCTCGTGACCGTCGTTTATCCATTCCAATCCGAAGATTTACAGCGTTTACCGGAGGAACGACTGAGATTCTCTGCAATCTTTCTCCTAACACTGATGTCAATGGGGAGTATTGATACCACGGAGCAACATTTTGAGTGGTCGTTCGCCAAAAAGTGATTATCTTAACCACATTCCACTGTTTCTCAGCCACGTTTAAAGGCGAGTGTCTTACTCCACTTGCAAATACTAGAGCTCCCCCCGCTCCCCCGAAAAAACAGAAACACATGTATTGTACACTAATAGACAATTGCCAATTTTTTTTAGCCAGTAGATTCACCTATCTCCCTCGTAGCAGAGAGGACGATTCAACCTCGTTCCGAGAGAATTCTGGGAACGAGGTTGGCAAAGATGGTTGCACACAAGTACACAGATGAGCAGTTGAACTCCTTCAAGTTTTATGCCATTGTCGTCGACGAATTCCCTAAAGCCTTGCGCCAAACTTTCAAACACATGTGGGATAATTTCGGACCGGGACCCATCTGGGATGACTCGGAAGCTGTAAGAAGCTTGTTTTTGGGACTAGAGGGAAGCAACACCAAAGTTCCCACAAATGAGTCGTTTGAGAAGTGGGATTGCACCGCGCTGTTTCAAGCCACTATCTTCGCGAAAATCTTCTCTTTACCGGACAGCAGAGGTAACCTTAAAACACTCAGTGAGTTGTACGTAAAGCCCATGAAGCCCCGTGGAGGTTTCCACACCTCTGTGTTAAGTTCGGGTGGCAATGATGCGGAAACGTTCGCCCTTGCGATTGATCAGTTGCGACTCCTCCGGAATTCAATTGTTCACCCTGCCAGTTCAGAAATGGATAAAACAACATTTGATCGGTACATTGAACTCGCTAAAGACGCGTTCGATGCTCTTGGAGTGGCGACAGACTCAATTGATGCCGTTGGAAGTTCGACGGAGTCTCACTTTCCAACTGAGGAAGTTGCTCGGTTGAAGCGCAATATCTACCTTATGGCAGTTAGTACCGGAGTTTTATTTGATTAGGCCGATTTAGACGGCACGACTGCTTAACAGGGCGGGTCTTTCACAATATTAATTGCATTCATGTGAGGTGTCTTCAGTCCAATACAACTCTTTGATGTGTACTGGTAACGCCTTCATTTGGCGAGACCACATTTGCCATTCATTTCGTTTCGATGTGTACAGTACTGGTAACAATTTGTAGTTCATACTAGTATGGCGACACCACGCTTCCCATTCATTTTTTAAAGAAATCATTTATCCTCGGTTTTCACATGATGTCACCAAAATTCAAACTAAGAAACTATCGATTCTTTTGAGTTTCTGAGTTTCATGAGGTTTTACAGCACCTAAACACCTTTATTTAAACAAAGTTTTGGATCGAAAGGGTTCTTCGTTTTGCGATAGAGGACGTTTCTAGGCTTTTGCGTGACGCGGCATTTAGCTGGCGGCGGGAAACGGCTCTTATGTGGGTTAAAAACATCACCAATTTTGGGAGATTTTGCTATCTAAACATTCCTTGTCTCAGAATAAATATCACTTTCATCCTTTATGAGTTTTTCAAGCGATGAATTCACGCATTAGTAGGAAAACTCAGAAACATGTTTCTGTTGGTTTCCGGCGGCCATATTTGTGCCCTCAAAGAGACACAAACATGGCGTCTTCATACAAAGCTTTATAAATTTGGGTAAAACGTTTTCCGAATATCTCGCATATGAAATATCGCACAGACTTGATTCTTGGCGAGGCCTTTTGCATATTTATCTTCTTTTATTTCCTAGATTCCGGACTTTCTGTATTGAATGGTTTGCAATTTTATTTTTGATTGCGTGACAGTGAAAACCGAGATTTTGAAGAGGCCTATTCGCCTCTAACCGATTGTTATCAGGTTTGCTATAATTATTATTGGAACTGTTGTGAATTGGTTTCCATCCTAGCTTTCTACCAAGCTATCGTGATTGACGATTCGTGATGCACTATTAATATTGTGAAAGGTGCGCACTGTCATTTGACATCAACGGACTCACTGCCAGTATCTTGAGCTGACTCGTCCAAATGATGCCAAGCTGTCGATTCAGGCGCCTCTGAAAAACGCGTTTGCGAGAGGGCTCCCTGTATAATATAAAAAATAATATATATATATTTAAATAGTATATACGAAATATAATGACTTATTTTTGTATTTCACATATTATATATATTCTATAAATAAGCAGTCGAGCCACTAAGTCGGCCCTTAATCAACTGGTCAAGTTGACCAAGTCAGTATGCGGGCGCGGCTTAAGGCCAACCCGCGGATAGCATTAAATTGAATTTAAAATATTTTTTTAATTTGTGGAATTCGATATTCGGGAAAAAAGCTGGGGCACCCAACGCCCGCGGATAGCATTAAATTGAATTTAAAATATTTTTTTAATTTGTGGAATTCGATATTCGGGAAAAAAGCTGGGGCACCCAACGCCCATGGACAGCATTAAATTGTATTTTGACAGGGCCGGTGTAATCGGCTCCTGATTTTTAATTGTATCATAGTATTCATTGGAAATCGACACAGTGTCGACCTTCAGGAAAAAAACTGGGGCGCCCAACGCAACTCTCAGACAGAGTTAAATTTATTTATTCATTTATGTTAATTTCATTTGCCACAAAATAATTACAAAAAGAAAAGACAAAAAAAGAAGTGGCGAGGAGACCTAACAGAAACTATAGGAGCTTACGAGAGGTTGGGCCTCCTCGAACTACGGGTTAGAGCTGTTTGACAACGAGTTTGTAAATGTTGATATGTTTATATTTGCGATTAGTGTGTTCGATAGATAATTTTTGTTAAGCCAATTCCAGTTATACATAGCCTGTGTACAGACCCCCACCCCCAAGACCCCCCCCCCCCCCCCCCCCCCCCCACTACACTCAGGAAAAATCGTGTGGTTTTATGCGGTTTCTGTACGTGTTTGTGACAGGATTTGAACTCGGATGCCGTTTATATTAGAACCTTTGAAACCTAACGCTTCTTAGTACGGCTAAAGAACTTTTCAATAAAGATTTCAGTTTCTTTTCTTTTCTCCGAAATCGGCCCCGGATCTGAAGAGCTACATGCGTGTAGTTGTGATGAATCTGGTTGCCTGCTATGTTTTGACGACAGGCCCTAAGAAAAATCACGTGGCCTCCATACACGATTAGCAAAAGTGAATCACGGACGCCCCTTTTTCGATGTTTCCTGAGGGAAGGGGCGGAGGGGTCTGTACGCAGGCGCAATTATACAAAATTTATTGGTAGTTATTACTTAGTTTGGTTGATTAAGATGCTCCTTTCAAATACGCACATGCTGAAGTGCGATTTGATAATTAAGTTCTTTCTCTTTTCACAATTATATTCTTGTATTGGGTATTTAGTTGATTTTGGTCTTCAAACAAAGGACAGCTTTTGGTTTTTATTATAAATTTATCTTGTTTTGACCAGTCAAAGTTGTCAAGACTAAGTTGAGTTCAGCCAAAGAAGTTCTGTTTTGTCACTTTATTGTGTTTTGTGATATATTTATTGTGAGCTATTTTGAAAAAAGGAAAAAACATCATGGCATATTTATCTTTGTCGATTTATGGCTTTGTGTGTTCGGATGCTTCCTGCTTAAGAGACATTATAGTTATCGCAATGTAGTAAAGATGCGTAACTCAAGTGTAACGAGAGGAAATTCACTGCGTCAAGAGGCGTTTCGGCCTGTCAAACCAAATTGGCGGGAAAGTCGAACTAGGAAAACAACGGAACTAAAGCTCTTCGCGAGGGTGCTAGAATTAGCAAATAGTGATCTGCTAATGGAAGTTATTGACGGGGGAAACTGCAATTCGGTAGAGCGACTGACTCAGCAGGCTGCTGGCACTCGTTACTACTGCCAGAGGTACAGGGTCTAATTTCCACGTCCCAAGGTACGGAGGTTGGACAAGAACTTAGACTTCTCTCTAAAGATAACATTGATATATCGGATGTGACACTCCCCTCCTTTAATTGAAAGCCTCCTGGCTTTCGGAAAACCGAGATAAAAGATGGAAAATCCTACTTATGGAAAATAAAATGGGTGGATTGATTTCTTCATGCCATGTTTCGATCAGGATAATTCAATGGGAATAACTATTGGAAATACATGCTTGGGGCATACAGGTTATTAAGAAGGGGAAATCGTAAACGGATAATTGATTAAACCTTTTCTCTACTGGCGGGTATTTCGTCTTGATATTTGTATTGGCTTTTATGGATATGGATGTGGAATGTTCCTTTTTTTCTTGATGTTCATAATTTCCAGCTGCTCTATCTGTTAGCTTGAGGGGTTATGATAAAATGATGCTGGAGTCCTTCAGGTGGACTGGACTGAAAAGAAACTGTAGACTATGGTGGTGATTTGCTAGGACGCGACTAGGTAGAGTGCTTTCAAAATGTCCTGTTGAAAGACTTGACTAGGTAAACTCCGGATCACTGACGAATTTCCTTCCTTGTTGGAAGACGGTTTTTGATTCTTGCTTGATTTGTGAGCTGACATGATGAGGTGACATCAGCAAAAGAATGAGGAGGAATTTGAGAAAGTAGTGACGGGCCTTCTTGCAACTGTGTAGGTAAAATGCGAAATGCTAAAACATCGTTTCGGAATGACTGGGAAAGCCTTAGGATGGATACAGTCTTATCTATCCCGGACGACCCAGTTCGTAAAGATCGGAACTGAGCGCTCATCGAGCCGGAATCTCTTTTGTGGTGTTCCCCAGGGCTCAGTGCTGGGACCCATCCTGTATTCCATGTACACCTCACCTCTCACAGATATCTATATAAGATTATCATTTTTATTATTATTATTATTATTATTATTATTATTATGGGGAAGCTTGCTTAGGAATTTATCAGCGTCATGGTTTCTAGCAACAGGGCTGGTCTTTTCGACGGTAAGGAGAGCGAGAGGTTGTGAATTTTCTTCTCGTAGGGTCATCTTAAGGGGGTAGGTCTTGTCTAACGTTACTGTTCCTACAGAAAAATTAATGATTGCACCATTGGACTGCAGAAAATCTCTTCCAAGAACAGCTTGATAAGCCACATTATTAATGACATGAAATTGACTCGGGAATTGTCTTCCATTTAGTAGCAAGGTTACTTGAATCTGGCCAATAGTTGATAGGTTTTCACCACTGACGGTATACACTTCTGGGAAAGTACTCGGGGTCATTTCAGGATGGGTGTCATCATGAAGGACTTTCTTGGCAAATTCGTAGTTTATTACCGAGATGCAAGCTCCTGAGTCAATGAGTAGTTTCGTTGGACAATCATTTATTTTACCAATGACAAAGGCGGTCCGTTGCGGGGTATTTGGTGGAAAACTACGCTGTGTGGGTTTAGTCTACTTAGGCTTTGCAGACCCTTGTTTATTTCTGTTTAATTGTGAGTGGACTTTGGTTACTGTATTTGCATATGACAACTCTGGTCCTATTGTGTTCTGATCGGATGAGGATGGAACAGGTTCATCGTCAGTGGGATAGCGTTGCTCACTGGGTGTAATGTGCGCTTGGTCTTCTGAGGTAGGGTGACTGTGGGTGGCGGCTGTTGGGCTGTTTGCTTTGCATTCAGTTTAACTTTGAGGTTTTCGCTGATTCTGGTGGTCATCGTGATAACCTGTTCGGAAGTATTAGAATTAGTGTCTGTAGGTTTCCGGTTCTGTCGCTTTCTCTTGACTGTGCTGAGGGTGAACTGTAATGTGAGTCTGATCAGGGTGGCTCTGACGTTTTGAGTTTGGAGCTGGCTCAGTAAACTCCCTCTTCAGTATATCGCGTGCACGTTCCACATTCTTCTTCACTGAACTATATAGTTAATTGGCTGGACAGCTTCAATGGTACTTATTCTTGGTACTTCTGTAGACCCAAATGTACTGGGTGGATTGCTTCGTCTTGCATAATCTAATAAACTCTTTCAGGTTGTGCTTCGTGTTCACCCTGTTCACCCTGTTGGTGGTTTGGCTGATTACTTGGAGGAAATGTCATGGTAGGCTTGTCCAGTTT